ATTTCTCTTAGTCAATCTAGCTGTTCTTACAATTTTTTCATTTTTTTAAATTTTATTTTATTTTTTTTCAGTGTTCCAAGATTCATTGTTTATGCACCACACCCAGTGCTCCATCAATCTGTGCCCTCCATAATAACCCCCACCAGGATCACCTAACCCCCCACCCCTCCCCTCCAAAACCCTGTTTGTTTCTCAAGTGTCCACAGTCTCTCATGCTTTGTCTCCCACTCCAGTTTTTTAAAAAAGCAATTTCTGCTGACTTTCTCTACTGTTTTCCTATTCTCAGTTACGTTATTCACTGCTCTAACATTCTTTTTAGGTTTACTTTGTTTTAGTTCACGAAGTGCAATGCCAGCCTCAGGATCGCCATCTCTAGGCTATGGCTGACCGGGTGGCTGAACACCCACAAACTGGAGTGGCCCAGGCCAGCCTCCCCTCCCCCCAGCAGGCCAGCCCAGGTCACCAAAGATGCTGAACCTCCCCTATGGCTGGGTTACCTGACGGTTGATAGCCCAGCCTGGAACCCTGTGGAGCACCTGCTGCCTTAGGCACCATCTGCTTTCTGAGAGCCCGAGGACTAGCTGACCCCAGCCAAAGATCACAGCCAATGGGCACAGAGCCCTGCCTGCAGCCAGGAATTCCCCTCACCCCTGCACAGCTATGGTACCCTGCCACCTGTGCCCATAGGCACAACAGAGCACTCGCTTACATAGGGGGTCTGATGACTGCCATTGTCTCCTCATGTCTGCATCTGCCCACAACCCTCCTAAGGGCCCAGGCTCTGCTTCCCACTGCTCTAGACTTTCTCAGGGTGGGTGGAATCTCAGATTCTATCATCAAGGCCAAAGGTGAGCAAGAGCCCCCCCGCTCCTCACCCAGGAGAGGAGAGACCCTCTTCCCACACCTCGCTCTTTTCCAAGTGAGGAGGGGCAGCTGTGTCCCACTGATACCCTCTCGTGCCCCTGCCAATGCCAGGCACCAGCGGTTTTGAGACCACAGCAGTTGTGGTCAGTGGGAAGGGACAGTTTCAGAAGAGCTAAAAGAGCAATTGAATTTTTGTACAATAAGAAAAAAGGTTTACTGATTTGGACATTATTGGTCATAAATAGCAAAAGCTACACTTGACTACTGTTTTAAAATCCTCTTTCTACCACAGCTGGCAGTTGTGATTGTGTTATTTCATTTCCTGTGTTTAAATGAAACACAGACTCACTCCCCATTCACTGAGACACACCCAGATGCCCTTTGCTCTGAGGACACTTCAGTCTGGGGACCCTGGACACGAGCAGAGATCGCCCCTCAGAATCCTGGCTTTTAGAGGTTGAAGGCACTTTCACAGGCACAGCGACCACTAAAATTTGGGAGCTTTTAAGAATAGCACTTGCCAGGACCATTCCCATTCTCAGGACAATTTGGGGGAAGAGGGAACGCACTCTGCCTCTCTTGCTAAGATTTCTTCTGACCACCGATTGGGAAATTATAGTTTTCAAGAACAAATGCCAGGACTTCATCAGCCCTGAGTGGGGAAAATCGTACAAAATCAAAAACAAAACAAAAATGAAACAGGTGAGAATGTGCAATGTGGAAAGGGTGAGGCCAAAGGAAGATGATTGGTGAGTGGACTAAAAGGCAGGAAATGACCTCCGTAACTGTCCCCAAGGGCCTCACGGCCAACCCTTTACCTAGATTTACTTTTTTATTATTATTATGTTCAGTTAGCACTGTACAGTCATCATTAGTTTTTGATATATTGTTCAACGATTCAGTAGTTGTGTATAACACACTCAGTGTTCATCTTAGCGTGTGCCCTCCTTAATACCCATCACTGGGCTATCCCCACCCCCCACCCCCTCCCCTCTGTAACCCTCAGTTTGTTTCCCAGAGTCCACAGTGTCTCATGGTTTGTCTCCTCCTCCGATTACCCTCCCCATTCATTTTTCCCTTCTTTCTCCTAATGTCCTCCATGTTGTTCCTTATGTTCCACAAGTAAATGAAACCATATGATAGTTGACTTTCTCTGATTGACTTATTTCACTCAGCATAATCCCCTCCAGGTCCATCCATGTCGATGTAAATGGTTGGTATTCATCCTTTCTGAAGGCTGTGTCATCTTCCATTGTATATATGGACCACATCTTCTTTATACATTCGTCCATTGAAGGGCATCTCGGCTCCTTCCACAGTTTGTTAACTGTGGGCATTGCTGCTATGAACATTGGGGTGCCGGTGCCCCTTCTTTTCACTGCATCTGTTTTTTGGCTTTACCTAGACTTATATCCTCCTGCAGTCCTGTCTGGGACCTCAGAACTCCTATTGCTGCTGGTTTTTTATTCACGGTAAAGATTTGTGATGCAGAATTTAGACACAGCGGCACCTTGTTCCGTAAGCATTCCTGCTCCCTGTACACAAGGAGTTCCAGCATCCCCACAATGCCTTGCACAAGAGCTCACCCCAGAAATGGCACCCACTGTGGTCACTCCTGTCTGGGTGATGCCTGATGACTGTGTCCTGTTTAAGTCATGGGGGATGCAAACTTTTCCCATGAGGACCTGAGCAGAGGGGAGCTACCAGAAAGGATGATCCATGGGCAGCACGCACACTGTCTCACCCATGAAATACGGGAATGGTTCCAATCCGGCTGGGAGACACACGTGCCCTGAGCGGGCTGGAGTGCCCTTCCAGGTCCTTCCCCGGGACAAGGAGCTGAAGGGCTGCACCAGGCAAGCCAGGGAGTCTCCAGTGCACCCGGTCTCCTACCGCCAACATGTCCCGCTGCAGAGGCAAGAGCCGGGTGAACGATGGGGACAATGCTGAGTGAGCCCCCTCCTCCCCAATGGCTGCTGATGTCACCCACTTGCCCAGCACAGCTCAGGCCCAGGCCCAGTGACGGTGCAGATTGTTGAATGCAAGTGGGTGTCCAAGAGGGGGACAGAAGTGAGAGCAACATGGAGCCAGTAGCTAGTGAACCACACGTGGCAGTTCTGGGTGGTTTAGTGGGGTGGACGGCACAGCATGAAGGCGCCAGAAGGACTGATGAATCACCACGTGTGCCGTGGTCATGGGCTTTCACTCTGAAGGCACAAGCCCCACTGGATGGCACAACGTGGCTGTGGAGGCACAAGCCCCACTGGATGGCACACCGTGGCTGTGGAGAAGGGACCACGGGGTGCACGAAGACGCCGAGTTTGCACCTGGCCTGTGAGTGTTCAGGGAGACATCATCAAATAGCACCAAGTGGGTGTGCTAGAATCAAAGGCCTGATGGAGAGAAGAGGAGCAACTGTGAAACAGTGCAGGTTTGCTGGAGGGGAGCCCACATACACAGGTCATTGAGCTGCACACGGCAAGTGTGCAAACCATGCAGCTGACTGGAGAGGAGCCTGAGCACTGGTGTTGGAGGGACATGTGGGGTGTCTGGGAGGAGTGAGTGCATGCAGAGCAGAAGTTCCAGGGGTGGAGACTGACGGGACAAACAAGTGTGCGAAGAACTGCTGAACCACCCCGTAAGTGTGAGCCCCAGCATGGCTGGACGGCACACAGGGAGGTGTGCAGGCACAATGTCCAACAGCAGAGTGTGTGTGTGTGTGTGTGTGTGTGTGTGTGTGTGTGTGTGTGTGAGGGGGACAGGTGCCAAGGGCTATGCACAGGGCAGTGCAGGACTGCCCATGGCTGCTGGGAAAGGAGCAGTTGCTGCGCGTTGAGGTGGGCATGGGACAGACTGGCATGCCTACTGAGTCCCAGAACGCACAGGGGAGGGACTATGTTGGTCAGCTGGACACCTCGACTTGGCCAGGCCACAGTGCCCAGCTCTTTGCTTAAATGCCAGTCTCCATGCTGCTCTAAAAGTACCCCTCTGATGGATTAACTCTGAACTGCACATACCTTGATAAACAACCTTGATAAACAATCAGGGTGGGCCTCATCCAATCAGTGGAAGGCCTGAAGGCAAGGACAGAGGTCTCCCAAGGAAGCAATTCTGCCTCCAGACTGTTTGCAGATTTTGGACCCAAGACCACAAAGTCCCCCTCCCCTGGGTCTCCCACCTGCCCCCACCATCTCTTACTCCATCCTGTGGGTTCCACTTCTCTGGAGAACCCTACTACTGTCACTGTTGAGCGACACTGAATGGTGCAGATCTGTGCAGGGGTTCTGAACAAAGCCATAGGCTCAGACAGTGAGCACACGGGAAGGGTGAGGGAGGGATGACAGGGGGCCCTGGACACCTGGGGCAAGGTCCAGGCCATCGCCGGGTGCGCAGTCACAGAGGTGGACCCAGAGCCTGACGAACAAAGGCAGTGCTGTCACAAGTGAGGTAAAGTTACAGGGCCAGCCAACCCTGAGGTGCCCGTGAATGATGCTCCTGTGATGGCTGGGGGCCTGTACGAAGGGCAAAGTAGGAGGCCTGGCCCAGCGCCCCGAACACACAGACGTCTTTAGCTGCAGACTCTGGGTGGGAGTGCAGGGGACACACAGGCCAGTAGAACAAAGGCAGGCTCTATGTAAATAGTGGGTGTCCTGGGGGAGACATGGAGGCCCCGGGCCCAGAGTGCCCCCACCCCACAGAGGGGCTTGCAGCGGAAGATGGAGAAGAGCAGGGATGCAGTCCCACTGCAGGGGGGGTCACGCAAGATGAGCTAGCCACCTCACACTGCTGTCCATGGGAGGCCTGTGGGCTTGGATGCTGGTCATTGCTGAGGGAAGGCTAAGGCTGTCAGGAATCCAGCCACATGCTGCCCCGACGCCTGGGTCCCCAGGCACTCTTGGAGCCTCCTGGCCATAGATCTTACTTCGCAAGGCCTCCACACCCACCCCTCACTGGATCCAGAGCACTCGGCCCTGCCGAGCCTCATGAAGACAAGGGGCCCAAGCCCTCTGCACAGGCACCAGGGTCCCAGGATGCCAACAGACAGCCAGGAAAAGAGCACGCCCTTAAGAGCAGGAGCCACAGCTGGGACACCTGAGGCCACGAGGCTCCACGGGAAGGAGACAGGTCCCATGGCACACAGTACACAAAACTTTATTTCCAGAAGGGACTGTGGGACAGACGGCCTGCCTTCCAGGCCAAGCCTCACATACTAGAGAGACACAGTGCTGGCCACGACCTCCTCCAGCTGCTGCAGGAGCTCCTCCGGTCGTGGGGAGAACATGCCAGTGTCCACTTTCTGGAAGTCAGGGTGGGCCACCACAGATGCCAGCACCTCTGTGATCCGGCTGACATCAAACGCAGCCTGATGGGGACCCAGCCTGGAGCCTGCACTGCCCTCCATGGCACCAGAGTCCGTCCCTTCCGCCAGGAGGAGGAGCCTCCGTTCAGCGATGACCTTGAGAAAGTGGTAAAATTCTTCAAAGTTGATTCCAGTGCAGGACCTCATGATGACCTGGCCAGAGAAGAGCAGCTGTGAGCCGCAGCTTGCCCACAGCTCTAGACAAGGGTCTATGGATGATGGGCAGGGCCCAGAGCTTCCTGGGAGCCAGCTGGAGATGGGTCTGAGTCTTGCAGCCTGGAAGCCCCAGCATCCTGCCTCAGGATCAGACTGACCTTCACAGGCAGGAGAGCAGCTACCATGTCCCCAAGACCACAGCTCTGGCCTCATAGACCAAGCCCTGCTCTGAGAATGCAGGCTGCCCCATGCCCTCCACCATTGCAGACCTATTTGCAGTGAGCCCCACCGGTCAGCCCCCACAGCAGCCCCAGCCCTGGCCCTGCCAGGGCCCTGCAGAGACCCTCCCCTCCCATTCCTCCCCTCCCACCCTGGCTAGCCTACCTGGCAATGATGGTGCCAGTCTGACATAGTTTCCTTCCACTGGCTGACCTCCTGCTGCACAGCCCGGAGCTCTTGCTGCAGGAAGTGCCACATGTTGGCCAGGTTACAGCCATTGACCCAGTTGTGGTTGATGGAGATGGTGTCCTCCTGTATGGGGTGGGGCAAGGTGTCCCCATGAGCCCACTGCAGACGGTCCCCAGCCCCTTCCCGAGTTCCCCGCAGTCCCCTCAGCAGGGAAGGGCTGCTCCTATCTCCCAGGAGATAGGAGCTGTCTTCTGAGTACACAGCTAACCAGGAGCGGGGCTCCCCTGGGAGCCAGGGAAACTCCGGGTATATAGGAACCCACTGCGGCCCAGGGAACAAGGACGGGGGTGGGGAAGAAAGAGGAGCTGGCGGCCCTTCTCTGGCATCTGTGCAGACCCGTGCCCAGACCCTCCCAGGGGGCAGTCGGCCCACTGTGGGATCAGGAGGGGTACCCTGGCCCTCTCTCTGTGGATGGCATCTAAGAACGTGTCAAGGGTGAGCAGTGCTGCCAGGCAGGCTGAGGGACAGATGAATGGAAAAGATGGGTCCTCCGGGGCCCCAAGGTGGCCCCCGACCTGTTTGGGCCATGTCACAGGCGCACACGGTGGGGTGTATACACGCTGTGAGGTGTGCCCACCCTACCAGGTTGTGGACTTGGTGGTGCCAGCCACTGGGCACAAAGACCATCTCGCCTGCCTCCTGCGTGAGCTCCAGGGCCGGGCTGCAGTGCCCGCGCCTGGGGTACAAGTGGCTGTCGAGGAGTGCGGGCGAGGTCACGTCATAGGGCAGGCCGCCGTGACGATCCCGCAGGGCTTCTTCCTGCCCCGGAGGGAAGAAGAGCCACTTTTTCCTCCCACAGATGTTGGCAGACCAGCTGAAGGAGCGGAAGATGTCGGCATGGAACGGCGACCTGTGGAACCTCCTGTTGGCATCTGGTGAACCACAGCTGATCTGGTTCTTCAGGAAGACAGCCGCGGACACAGGCCCCCGAGCTCACACCTCCCCCGTCTGAGAGCCCCAGGGCAAAGTGCTCACGGAGACTAGGGACCTCGGGCAGCCTCCCCACGGCCCAGGCATCTCTGAGGCCCTGACGGAGCAGACAGGGTGGGGGAGAGTGGGGGGGGGGGCACGGGCGAGGCGCAGAAAGGGGATCAGGAGAGGACACACGTACCAGGAGCCAGCAGGCCCCATGTAGACAAAGCGGTAGTCGTCCACGTCTAGGGCGTCCCAGTACTCGTTGAGCCAGTCAGACGAGAAGTACACAGGCAGGGTGAACACGTCCTCCGCTGAGGAGTCCCTGCAGGGAGTGCCATGAGCCTCTGGCAGGAAGGGTCCCCTCCTGGCACCTGTGCCACAAGCCCGTGAGACAGCCAGAGATCTGGACAGGCACGAATGACCCTGAGCCGCCTTCTGCAACCAGTGTCCACACTAAGGCTGATCACCTGCGCTTGTCCAGCCACCATGTGACCACAGCCCCAACTGACCGCACCTGAGCGCTGTCCTGGGAACGAAGCCCCATCATGAGCAGGTGAAACAGCATTGGGGGCCATGATGCCGCTTAGGTGACCGGTGCAGGCAGCCCCGCACTTGTTTCAGCCCCCTCTTGGACCAGGTCCAGGACCTCTGGGCTCTAAGTACCTCATCTGCATCCCGCTGCTCTCCAGGACCCCTGGGCCTCACCCATGCTCTCACCCCGCCTGTGACCTCGAGTCCGCAGAGCAAATGCACGACCACTGGCCCATGTCCGCTGAGGTCCCTCTCCCCTACCCCACAGCCGCCAACTCCTCCTGGTCCAAAAGCCTGCCCCACTACCAAAACAATGGTCCCTCCAAGGGGAGTCACCAACCCAGCCCCAGGAAGAGTGCACCTCTCCCAGCAACACATGGAGCAAGCTTCCAGAGTAGCTCACACATCACTCAAGGTCGGAGGCCATGATCAGGGAGAGCCCACAGAGCACCCAACCACTTGTTCCCTCTGCCGCCATGCCTTTGCGACCGTCAGACTCCCATGGAGCCCTCAAAACCTTGCTCAGGTATCATGTGCCCTTGGGCCACCTCTGTCTTCCTGACCTCCCTCTACTGCTTATTCCAGGGTTTCCAGAGAAAATACGTGATATTCAGTCCAAACTGACCTCCCAGCAACAGGCAAGTCTCCAAAACAAGTATGTCCCGTGTAATACCTAGAACTCACTTACTGCCTAACTGAAGCCCACAGCCACCATGCAGGAGCACTGGGTCCAGGAGTCCTAGGTGCCCCTGGGTCAGGAATCCCTGGGGGCCTCGGCCAGGGCCTGGGTGTCACTGATCCACCCCCTGGCCAGCTCTCCCTGCCAAACAAGATGCAGCAAGGCAGGGAGCATCTAGGGCACGACGGGTCGAGATGCACCTTTGCACGGGTCTTGGGAACCACAAGGAGCCTTGGTTTTCACGTTAGGAAAACCAGAATTCAATCACTGACTCGCTTATACAGAACTGACTGAGCAGTTACCGTATCTGTGACAGCTGCTGGGGTGAGGAAGACGGTCTCTGCTTGTGCCAGCACACCGCTGGATGGGGAATGGGCACGAAACCCAAGCAGCCCCTCTGAGCACGGATGTGGATGGGGTGGGGCCCCCACCAGTGTGAGCTATGTCCCAGAGCACCGGTGGTAGCTCCCCTAGGGAAGAAGGCTGTGGTCGGACCCCAGGTCTCTGCTAGTGGGTGAGGAAGACGCTGTGCAGGCCGGGCCCTGCCTTGCTGAACCGAGACAGGGGAGCAAGATGGTGCAAGACGGGAGGGGGTGGGGGGAGCCAGCGTAAGCCAGACCCGGCCCAGCGGCACCAGTAGCACAGCTGCCCGGAGGGGCCAAGCCCAGTGCGGCCCCCAGAGGGGTAAGGCTTGCACGGGTGGTTCCAGCCACCAGGACACAAGGGAGGCACCGGCCTCAGCCCACCTAGACTCCCCACCAACCCCGACGCAGCGTGGCCAGCCCCATGGCGGGCGGAGCCCGAGGTGCACGCAGGGGAAGGACCAGCCACCCTGGGTGGGGGGTGGGACACGCCCCCCCCCGCACCCCTCACCTGCACAGGTGCCAGTCCTTGAGGTACAGGCAGCCCCGCGGGGACGAGTAGCCGCTCTCGATGTGCTCCGTCCAGTAGCGCAAGTAGTCGCGCAGCAGCATATGCTCCTTGGGGTGCGCGTTGTACTCCCGCCGCCCGCAGTCGGCCACCGGCACCACGGCATCCCCTGCGACACCGACAGGCGGTGACGCCCGAGCCCCGCGCCCCCCGGAGCCTCGCGCCCCCCGCCCCGAGCCCCTGGCCCGGGCCTGCACCGTAGGTCCGTAGCAGGTGCTGGAAGTCCGGCCGCCCGCCCGGCGTCACCCAGCGCCGCCGGCCGCCCCAGCCCTCAGTGAAGGCGCACGAGAAGACGCACGGCACGTTGGGGAGCAGGTAGCGCTTGAAGAAGTCAGCGTACGAGAAGGAGGCGGGGCTCGCGATGAAGTCCACGCGGCCCGGGGACGCGCCTGCCCCGCCCGCCGGCTGCCCCCGCAGGCGTCGGAAGTGGCTCTCGGCGAACGCGCGCGTCTCCCGGTCCATCCCCGGCCCGGCCCGGCCCTGTCCGGACCCGCCTCAGGCACCCGGCTGCCCGGCCCTTTAAACCGGGAGGCGACGCGGAAGTACTCGCTACAACTACTTCCGGAGCAGACGCCTCCGTGCCAGCCGGGGCGAAAACCGCGCGGCACAGACTCTCGGAGACTGAGGTCGGCCCGGCGCCGGCAAGCGGAATCAAGAGAACGCTGCCACAGTTCCTGCCCGAGGACGAACCTCGGTGCGCCGGACCCTGGGCGCACGCGCAGAGCAGCCTAGGGCCCCCGTTTTGCGCAGGCGCGGCAGCGGCCCACAGCGCCTCTAGAGCTAGGGGTCTGTCCGGCGTCCCTCAGCTCCGGAGCCGAGTCTTGCCGTCTGCGCGCCTTCGCGGTGACACAGGTAAGCCGCGCCCCCAGTCCGCGGTCGGGCCTGGGCCGCACTCCTTCCGGCCCTCTCCGGCTTAGTCCCGCCAGCTGCTGCTGCCGCGATAAGAACTCCGGTTCTGACCGAGGGGCGCCGGGGCCAAAGGTGGGGTCCGGGGGGGGGGGGGGGCCGGGGGGGGGGGGGGGGGGGCCCGGAGGGGGACAGTGGGGGCCGAGGTGGGGGCCCGGAGGGGGCGGTAGGGGCGGGCCCGGAGGGGGGCGGGGGGGCCCAAGGGGTGCTGGGGGCCCGGAGGGGGCGGTGGGAGCCGAGAGGGGGACGGTGGAGGCCCTGAGGAGGATGCTGGGGGCCCGGAGGGAGACAGTGGGGGTCCTGAGGAGATGCCGGGGGCCGAGAGGGGAGACGGTGGGGGCCCAGAGGGTGTGCTGGGGGCCCGGAGGAGGTGCTGGGGGCCGAGAGGGGGACGGTGGGGGCCCCGAGGGGGCGTGGGCGCCCGGAGGGGGTGCTGGGGGCCCGGGGGGGATTGTAGGAGACCTGTAGGAGATGCTTGGGGTCCAAGGGGTGGTGGAGTCCTGCAGTGGGTGGTGAGGGAATGCCGGTGTGTGGAATGCAAAGTGAGGATTTGAGGCTGCACATCAGGACGGAAGCGGGGGGTGGGGGGCGGGTGACAGGTCCGGGTCTGAGCATGCTAGAGGAAACGTGTGATCGCCAGTCTGGACAGGAAGAGCGCAGGCTCCTTGCTCCAGGAGCTTGCAGATGGCACATACGCGGAGCGGGCGCTAGAGGGTACAGGGCTGGGCAGAGCCTCCCTGGCCTCCCAACTGGTCAGGCGAAGGAAGGAACCACCAGGGCCGCTCATCCCTGTGACGGAGGGGCAGATGCACCTGGGCAGTCTTGCATGCGGTGAGAGGGGCCTGACTCAGCCCTGCAGCTGCGCATTTACAGCTCTGACTTGGTGACCACGCCTCGAGAAGTCTGGGTGCCGTCGTACGTCATTCCTGAACAGAGGGGACATGCTGAGTGACAGGGCGGGGGGGGGGGGGTGGGTGCCGCCCCTCTGTCGAATGAGGAAGATGCCACCCTGTTTACCTTTGCAGCGGGGAGAAGGGAGGTCTCCCCAGGTGGGACTCTGAGCTTTGGTGGGGGCTGGAGGGGGACCCTGGCCACGTTTCCTGAAGCTTACCCCAAAGGAGAGCAGGGTGGACCGCAGATCAGGAAAGGCAGAGGAGAGGGGGCTGGGAGTGGAATGAGTTTGGGAGCGTCTGCGTCCTGGGCGGAGCTGAGCACACCAGGGAGGCGGGCAGATGGGGCATCACGGAGTGTGTGATCCCGTGTGTGCTGAGCTGCCTGCCCTGGTGGCCTCGCTGTGCCTGGTGTGGTGCACGTGTGGGGTTCCTCACGGGGCCAGTGTTTGCATGGAGTCAGGGAGAACGTGCGGGGCAGTCATTGTGGGGAGGAGCCCCCTGGTCCCGTGCACGCTGGACTCCTCAACACATTTTGAAATGCAGCTGTCTTTACAGGCACCCCTTCATTGTTTCCTGTGTGAAGTCTCTCTCTCCTCCTTTCCCCACCCCGTACACACATACACACACACACACACACACACACACAGTCTCTGAAGTGTGTGTAAGCGTCTACTGTTTCTGTTTCTAGGCTTTTTTAAAGAAAGTGACCATGCACTGTCCACATCTTGCTGGAAATCGACTGAATGCTCCTTGATTTTGGATTGTAGTTGTGAATGCAGATCATGGGAGGCAGTCAGGAAAAGTGTGGGAAGCAGTGTTTGCCGTTGTCCGAAGATTGAGAAAACGTGAGGAAAGTGTGTGTCTCGGGAGAAATATGAAATTGAGATAGGTGTTTCCTGGAAAGAATCCCAGGATTCTGACTCCTTGAAGCTCGGGTCTTGAAACCAAGTTTCCTACAAAGGGGGAGGCTTTGGGCCCGAGGTCCGTGTGCTCCCCAGGATTGTTGGCACAGCTGAGCCAGGAGCCAGGCTAGGACATGGGATGCTGTGTTCCATGCTGTGCTTCCTCTTGTCCACACGGTGGCCCTCTGGTGCTGGAGCTCTGGCCATAGCGCCAGCTGTGTCCCCGAAGGCCCCTGGCACCTTCTGGGAACCCTGAGAGACGTCCTTTCTTGAGCCCCACTCAGACCTACTGAGTCAGAGCGTGGGGGCGGGCAGGACGCTGCTGGGAGCCCTGACGGGGCCCAGCCATGCACTGTGCCCACAGCCGGAGGGGACGGTCACGTTAGCATGTGGCCGAGAACACAGCAGAAGTAGGGACAGGTCCTTGTTCTCCTTTCCGAGGGTGAGAAGGATGGTGCACGCCATGGGAGTAGGCCATGTTGTGGCCCTGAGACCCCCCAGCAGCTCATGTGAACCTCCCAGGTCGAGAGTGGGAGCAGGAGGTGGAGGTAATGGAAAAGGTGGCCGCAGACGCTGGGAGACACTGCTCCCACTGTTCTGCCTCCAGACCGCCTTGTGCTCAGGAGGCCTTGGAACAGGCGTGAGACGTCACTGGTTCTGTCCCTCTGGAAACTGACTAAATATAGGGTGTTTACTTGGTGCCGAGGCCCACTCCAGGCCACAGGCCGGGCACCGGCGCTGAATGATGTCCACATCCAACAGTGCATCGTACGGAGGGCCGTGCCCCATTCACATGCCTGCTCACACCTTGCCATGAGTGTCCTTGGAGTGCTGTCCCGGGGTCTTCCCATCCTCATTCAGCTCCATCCCAGAGTCAGCTCAGGGTGACGTGGGCTCCAAGCTGAAGAGGCGAGGACGAGACAAGGCCTCCGGGAACATAGCATAGATCAGACACCCAGGTCAGCAGGAGGGAGGAGGAAGGCCAGTTGAGGTGGATACAGTCGCTGTTTCCATGTGTTTACCTTGCTGCCCATGATGGGCTGGCCTTGTGCCCATGGCACCCTCCTCCTCATGTTAGCCTTGTCCAGCGTGTAGACAGAGCCTGTCAGCATGTAGGCTCCTGGGAGCTCTGGCAGGTGCCGTATGGTTGGCGGAGGGTCTGTTACCAGGGAAAGGGAGCCCTTGGAGGTGGCCATGGGCAGGAGAGGGGAGGGGGCCGCTGGAGGCCCCGGGGCTGGGGGTGAGAGACCAGGGAGGAAGCATGCTATGTTGGACAGAGGTGGGCAGTACATTTGGCCACCTGGAGGCCTGGGCGGAGCAACCCATCCAAGGGGAGGTACCTGGCGGTGGGAGCTGCAATGGGCATCTCTGGGAGGAACGGTGACTGGAGAGGGCTATGGGGAGGTGGGGAGAGGCCTCTGATCTGCCCTAAGGTGGAGAGCTTAGGGAGTCTGTGCTAACTGGGGAGAGGGTCTAGGACAGGGAGGACAAGCGTGGTGGCCCCTGTGTGGTGAGTGAGGACAGACACAGCCCTGTGTCTGCTGTCTCCGGTTGCTCCTACTGTACGATGCCAGAGCTGTGCTCTTGCCACAGGGACCATGGGCTCACAAAGCCTAAGGCACTCACTGTCCGGCATTTGGAGAAGTGGTATGGCCAGGTGTGGGAAGGAAGGATGGAGAGGTAGATGTTGTAGGAATGGAATGGGATTGAGGGCACAAGAGCAGGGGCGCTGCTTCCCCCTGTCAGTACTGGGGAACAGGGGACCTGCAGAACACCCAGGGTAGGTGTGTAGGTGAGCTTGCAGCTGAGGGAGAGCGAGGGCATAGGATTGTTGTTCTTGCCCCGGCCGTCCCTTTCATCTTGTTTACTCGTCTGTAAGCCTGTGGTAGAAAGCACGCTGGCCATGGCTTCTCCCTGTGCTTCTTCCTGGAATCACCAGGCCTGACTGCTGTCCCCACAGCACTCACACACGGTGCACAGTCTGTCTGAAGAGTGGCTCGGGCAGAGCGGGGGACACGCAACCCTCACAGGCGGTGCACAGTCTGTCTGAAGAGTGGCTCAGGCAGAGCAGGGGACATACAGTCCTCACATTTGGTACACAGTCTGAAGAGTGGCTTGGACAGAGCAGGGGACATAGTGACAGGTCCTCCGTTCCTCCTGCTCACGGTTCATTCCTGTCTCTTTGTCCTTGGTCTTTGAATTCTGGCGGATTTCAGAGCTGGTGCTGTCCCTCAGTCTTCAGTCATTTTAGTGGAGGGTAAACAGGCCCAGAGAGGGAAGGAACGTGCTGCAGACCCTGCAGTGCCCTACCCCATCACTGGAGTTGGAGCTCAGGAGTCCCCAGGACACATGCTTTTGTTGGGAGGGACTCAGCGTCCACACCGCAGCAAGCTCACCAACACGGACAGTGCTGAACAACATAGGCCCTCCCTCTTTGTGGGTGGGAGATGGTGTGTGGTGCTCGGGTGGCTGAGTGGCAGGAGGGTCCCTTCGGCCAGGAGGACCAGGGCCAGACTGGCTCCAGGTGCTGACCGGCACAGCCAGCATGGTCTGGGGTGGAGCCCCAGCACCTGGCATCTGACCTTGGTCTTGGACTGGGAAACACCAAAACTCTGGTTGGTATCCCCTGGTTCTGAGAATGGAGGTCTTTCCACCCCCTTCAGTCCGTCCGCGTGACAGCAGCGGCCCCATGGCACCAGGGTGCTGGTGGGGACCTCGCGGGTCTGGGCTGATGGGCCCCCAGGCGGGCTGCACCCTGTAGTCTGTGTTTGTTCCAGTGTCTGGTGGATGTCCCTCTTGCTGGGGACAGACGTCTGAGCAGGACACGTGTGCTCTCTGGTTCCCGCTGTCCGGCGAGAGACGAGGTCCCGGAGGAGAGGCACCCACGCCGAGTCTCTGCCCCATAGGCTCGGAAGACTCGTGTGTGAGCTCTCTGGAAGGTGACTTGGTGCTGGGCCTTTACTGGCCCCTCCCAGAGCCCTCCTGAGGTCCCCTGGGGGCTTGTTGTCTGGTGGATGCATCGCCTACACCCCCAGCACTTGGTTCTATGTAATTAGGAAGCTCCCTGCGACGCAAGCTCTTTTCTCATCTTGCCCATCCTTTGTTGCCTGATGGGGCATCACGGAGCAGTCTGGGTCCTACTACAGTGTCACCGCATGAAGGAGCCGATCGGGTTTCTGTGAACGCTGAGCTGCAGCAGCCAGGGACCGTGTCAGTGTCGGCTCTGTGGGGCCTAGAGCCCATGGCCGGGATTCAGAGACTCCCTGAGGCCCTGGCCACAATGGGAAGGCCACGCTTCTCGGTATCGTGAGAGGTGCGACAGTGATTTGTTCTCCCATGTTTACAGGTGAGGCCATTCCATAACCCTGTGTGCTCGTGGCAGCAGGAGGCAGGGGGTGGAAGACGGAACCCAGACAACTGGACCTCAGGCCACGAGGGAGGTGCACGAGGCACTCCCAAGCCTAGCTGTGGCCAAGTCCTCATCATGTACTTGTGGTGTGACCTTGCAGAGGTTGTCCTTCTTCCCGGCTTTGTGGGTACTCTCTGGTCCGTGAGAGGGCGCACACGGTGCTCTGGAAGGCTTGTCTCACATCCGTCATGCCTGACTGCAGACTTCGTCAGCAAACACAAACTGTGTATGTGAACAGTGCACCTTCGCTGCTTATGGTTGTGTAAAAACACAGACAGATGTATACCTGGAGCTAGATGATGACACAGAACGTGATGAAATTTGTGGGCAATGCAGGAAGAGAAAGGTCTGCCCGTAGGACGGTTTCCTTACGATGAAGACTTCAAAAGGAGATCGTTAGTGTGGGAACGTGTGAGGAGTATGTGTTGGTGGGGTTGTCACAGCAGAATTGGTGTTCTTGTGAAGGGTCTGGCAGTCGCATCCAGCCGTGGACCCTGGCTCGGGTGGGGTGGGCCTCCATCCTGCCTGTACCGGGGTGGTATGGGTCCCCAGTGTCCTCAGCACCCTAAGCTGTCCTATTGTCTGCGGTCCAGGTGTGCTGACACATGCTCGCCTCACCCCTCCACTAACCTGCCCCTCTCCTCCAGAGGCAGAGTGGCTGTGGCCGTGGCCGTGGGACAGACCAGCCTGGGAGCCAGATGAGCAGAGAGATCTGCGTGCACTCCTGGCCTTGCTCCTACTACTTAGAACCGGAGAAGCGATGGGTTTCTGGAAGGCTTTCGTTAACATCTCACTCCCTGAGATTTGCAGCTGATAAAACCGGGGAGGCCCTGGTCAGCTTCCCCTTGTCCAGTGTGATTGAGATCAAGAAGGAGGCTTCTCACTTTGTCTTCAGTTCCATCACTGTTCTGGAGAAGGACCACGTCAAGCACTGGTTCAGCTCCTTGCAGCCCAGCCGGAATGTGGTCTTCAGCATCATTGAGCATTTCTGGAGAGAGTTGCTGCTGTCTCCGGCAGAAGTGCCGGTGCCTGTGACCAAGGGGAAGCAGCTGACAGGTCTGATGGCCTGTTCCCAGAAGCGCCTGGAAGAGACAGCCCGCGTCCTCCACCATCAGGGCGAGCAGCTAGACAGCATCACCAGGGGCCTGGAGAAGATGGACTCTGACCTAGATGTGGCTGACAGGTACTGGGGTGCTTCGGACACAGGGGTCACGCCCCTGCCGTGCACGGTTACAGTGGGTGGGCGTTGGCCTGGTGCAGAGCTCCAGGTTCATGTGAATAAGGGGTATGGCTCATTTCATCCCATGGGGAAAACTGGCCGAGAGGCCAGGTCACGCACACAAAGTGTGCTGTTCTGCACAGCCCTGTAGCCACAGGGTTTGAGCTGAGGCTCTGGCTCCAGGAGCTGCCACTTTTGCTGCCACAGCAGCCACTCCCAAACCAGGAACCCCCCCTCCTTTCAAACATCAGGGACCCCATGGGGCTATTGTTTATGTGAGTGCGTATGCGAGTCCTGCTGTGTTTTTGTAAAACCTGAGGCATTGGAAAATCATGAGCTGTTCATTTGAAAAGCATGATAACAAACCCACGACCTCGTAGCATAAGTACCTTTGCCCACGAAGACTAGCTTTGTTAGAGCAGACACGTTTAGTGGGAAGAGTGGCGCTGTCAGGATTCCACATCTCCTTCCAGAAGGACTTTGTCAGACACGGCCGGGCCTCCCACCCACTTCGGCAGCCTGCCTCCCGTGTGCTCCTGTGTCCCAGGGCTGCAGGTGCTCCCTGCACATACAGGACAGCAAGGGCAAAAAGCTGAGTCGCACCTGGTGCCACTGTGAAGAAACAGACCTCAGAAGGTCCTGGATAGCCCAGCTTGTCCAGCGCGGCACTGACCCTAAGTTGCGTTCTGTGTGAGAGGCACTTAGTGCTTATGAGGGCTGCCTGAGAGGTCGAACCAGGTGGCCATCTCTCGCTGTGGGCCCTGAGCATAGGCACCGAGCCTCACGTCAGAGCTGCGTGGCCCCACATGACCCCACTCTGCGGTTAAGCACCTGTGGCTCTTTCGGGATATTCTGTCCTGAGTGTCTGCTTGGTAAAGGGCTAGCGCTGCAGGGGACAGGGCCCCCGATCTTACCCTTAGGAGGGGTGCCTGTGGCGGCCGAGGTGAGAGGTCCTCAGATTTCTGTGAGTTTCCATCCTGGGAACATAGCTGGGCAGTTTCCACCCTTTTGTGCCATTGTAGGGCCAGGGACATCATGGGACTGAGTGGTGGGCAGGAGTGACGTAGGTCACTTCCAGGCCTAGTCTCTGAATGCCTCCCACCCCACCTGCCGTCCATCTTCCCTCACCTGTGGCCTCATGCAGAGAACCTACTCTGGGACCCTGGCCTGAACTGGACCTTGGTGGCCACATGGCCTTGCAGAGCTGGCCAGACAGCCTTCCGGAGCCATCCCAGCCCCAGCCCTCCGCTAGAGGGCTACGTCGGCATTAAACAGTGAGAATCTAGGGAAGAAGACCGCACCAGCTGGAGGGTAGTGAATCAGCATTGTCACACACTGCTATTGGTTAACCCTTTCAGAGAACAATCTGCCAGTTTAGAAATGTTCTTTTAACAAAAGGCAAAGTGAGAAGATGGACCTGAGGAGAGGAGAAGAATCTTGTAACACGCACTCATGTTCCCACCCAGGGATGTATACCCAGCTAGGCAGAGAGCTCGCAGGACAGAATTCAGTAGAGAGATGGCTGGAGGCTGTTGACTGAGGGCCGGCTGCTGTCGCAGAGATCCACCGATCCTGGGGTTGCTTCCCCACACGGAAGTGCAGAGGAAGGTCGGCATCCTGGGCAGGTTGCGGGCCGTGCTCTGGCTTACGGCCCAGGGCCCCATGTTGGCTCCATGGCTGCATCAGAAGCTGCTGGCGGCATTCTACCAAGCCACTGGGAAGGGGCACAGGGAGGGCCAGGGCCCACAGTCTTGTCTTTAAGCGGGTGAGCCCAGCCTACAAAAGGGAGGTACTGGCACCCCAGTGAGTAGAGAAAGGTAGATTAAACCAACACGTGTAGGTGTGGGATAACACTGACGGCTGGACAGGGTGTGGGTCGGGATGAGAAGTCTCGAGTCACCATCACTGACAGAACTTGGCTCGGCCACCAGCAGGACCTATCAAAGCCGAAGGTGCACAGACCCCATGACCAAGCCCTGTGTATGTGCAGGGGCACACGTGCCGAGGCAGCTGTAGTCATTCGGCCCTCAAGGGGATGCGTTGATGAGTCACGACTCTGCAGTGTTTGAATGGAGGTCGGCCAGAGCTGCCAGCCGAGGCAGAGTTCTTGAGACGCCTTCAGCGCATGGTGGTCATTTCTTCAAAGCCTGGGCACAGGACCTGTGGGCAGAGAAAGCTGCTGCCACCTGCTGCCAGGGGTTACGACGAGCAGAGGGTTCTATACTTTGGGGGTGGGGGAAGTAAAGACAAGGGAGTTTCCAGAAGGGTCTTTGTCTGCTAAGGAAGGCACAGAATACCGGAGCCCTTGCTTTGTCAAGCCAAGGTGGTTCTCCTTGTAACAAGGGAGCTTCCTGGAGGAGTGGGATAGCCTCCCTGCCTCAGGGGTTTGCCAGCGGGCTGCAGGTTAGAAGGACAGTTAATTTCGCCTGCCTGTTCTTCTGCCTTTGTTTCCCACATCACTGCTGATTCAGACGTAATGCGAGGATTCCTGTGGAGCTGCACAAACCAACTTGGATCCACCCCAAAGCCGGGTTATAAAACAAAACCAAGTTGCATGTAGACGTGGACAGCGGAGCACCACTTTAAGAGTTTTCAAATGGGCAAAGTAGCAGGATGGCAAAAACGCAGGGAGGAGTGACCTGCGGAAGCCTGAGCCGGAGGGGTGTGCACAGGCCACACGTGCCACAGCTCCACGGAGAGCTCCCACAGAGCTGCCCAAGGGCCCTCCTCGTACGGGCCTCCTGGCTTGTGGGGGCCTCCTGGCTCGTGGGGGTTGTTGGCTCAGGTGTTCAGTGAGCATGAGATGTGTTCTACCTTTCCCTTTTAAAGTGTGTTCCTTCTGGAACTCTCGTCTGGTTATTGGCCATCCTGTTTTGATCTTTGATAGCGTTCCCATTCTCTCCTTGTTTTTTCTACTGTTTTTTGAGTTTTGTCTTCCTCCTACCCTTCCGTTTTTGTGATCTTTTTAATTTCTAAGATTTATTTAATCTTTAAGTGTTCCTTTTTGGGTAGCCTGTTTTGTTTTCTGGGCTGCTGTTTTCTTTATCTCTTGGGATTTTCTGGATAGCCTTTTGCAGGAAGGGGCTGGGGTGTGTGTCCCAGCTTGGGTGAGGCGTCTGCTCCCATTTCCTGCCTTCAGCTCAGCATGCCCCCTTCCGTGGTGACCAGATGGAGGTGGGGCCTAGCAGCACCAGTGGGTGATGTTGGTGATCCAAGCACGCTCTTGTTAAGGGAACTTCCAGTCTATTGGGTTTCAAGGCCCAACTTCACACCTGTTTTCAGAGATCTCTGGTATTCTGTATCTTTCCACATAGAGGGCTCTGCAGCGGGCATAACTAGATCCTGAGGTGGTGGGGCCAGATGCTCGCCCTTGTCCACTGAAGACAAGCGGGATGATCACCATAACAGACAGCAGAACCAGAGCCATAATCAGAATGGTCTGACTCCCAGACATCTGTGCCCCTGGAGGAGAAGTAGACGGGCAGTCAACCCAGTTCTTCCTCGGGCTAGGCCGAGTGAGCAAGCCTGTAATTTGAATGAAAAAGTGGTGCTGGCCCCTGAATCAGCTCCCAGACTTGAAGACTGAGTTTGCAGGTCTGAAACCCCTTGAATGAGGGGGAAGCTGGAAGGACGCCAGTTTGCTGGTAGAGGCTTACACCTTTGTTCTTTCTCCCAGCCTTCTCCCACGGAAATTGTGGCATCAAACCAGGGTGGCTGTGCATTGGGGAGCAGGAAGCCCTCAGACTTTTCAGGACCCTTGGACACTGATTCCAGCAGACCAGAGTAGGGGCTTCCGGGGGTTACGGAATCAGTGGAGTTTTGGCTCAGGCCCGCCTCACAGGCTCACGGCGGGCCTAGTAGGCCTGGACCTATCCCAGGGCTATTTTCCCAGTCCTGGAACACATCATTGAGCCACTGGCGGAGTCACACACGGTTTCCCTGACCTGTATGGTGAGGGCTTTTCTGCTGGCCGAGGCCAAGCAGGAGCCTCTGGATGGCCTAGAAGAGTAAACCCTTCTTGGAGGGATTTTGGAGGTCCATGCCCCCAGCGAGGACTGGAAGGGTGTGTAGACGGGGAGCCCTGCATCGCTGGCCCTGGGCTCACGCACCTGACGTGCAGAACCAGGAGGGGCTCTCTTCAGCTTACACATGGCACTCTAACTCCAGCCGCTGCTCAGGTGCTTGCGTGGATGAACACGGCCTCTGGAACCTGCTGTGTGGTGGTCCATGTGGCAAATGCTGTCTTTCCATGCTGCCAGGGAGGACCAGCAGACCAGCGTGCTTTCAGCCACCATCCCAGCTTGGGGATTGCAGCTCTGCAGCCCTGGGTCCTGCTATATGTCACAGGGCCCCAACTGTCTTTCCCATCCCAGGATAGCATGCTGGCCTACTACCTAGGGGGTCCCACATGGGCCGGGTCAAGTGAGTAAGAAGCAGGAGCTACTCTGCATGCAGTGGAAAGATGTCAACAGAAGTTAGGGACTTTCCTCCTCGTGGAAATTTCTAGGGAGCCAGTGTGGAGTGGGGCTCCCTGAAGTATCTGTTTTATGGTGAAGGATAGGTTCTTCTTACAATGAGAAAGAAGGCACAGCTGGGGTTCCTGGGTGGCTCAGTCTGCTAAGCACCCAGGTTTTGGCTCAGGTCATGATCTCATGGTCATGAGGTTGAGCCCTGTGTCCTGCTCCACACCGAGTTGGGAGTCTGCTTGAGACGCTTGCCCTCCCCTCTGCTGCTTCCCAACTCACACACATGCTTGCGCGCACTGTCTCGCTCTGTCAGAGAAATAAAATCTAAACCAAGACAGAAAGGAGACACAGCACATAGTGAGCCCCTCAGCATTTTGGAGGCAACACAGTCCTCATTTGGGTGTGATGATCTGGCCAGCTTACCAAGTGACATGGAAAGTTGCTACTTTTGAGTGGGGCCCAGAGCAGGAAGGCTCCATGCAGGTCCAGGTGCTACTG